GCGGTTGGGGCGGTGCTTCTCCAGCCAGGGAAGGAGGAGTCAGAGTGGAGACCGTGTGCTTTTTTCGCGAAAGCTGAACAAATCCGAGAGGAACTACACGGTGTATGACCGAGAACTACTAGCCATTCATGAGGCGTTCCGGAGATGGAGGCACCTGCTAATTGGCGCACAACATAAGGTGCAAGTGTGCACTGACCACAAGAACCTAGAGTATTGGAGGACGGCACGAGTGCTCAACCAACGGCAAGTGAGGTGGGCCCAGGAATTCTCCAAATTTAACTTTGAGATTTGTTACGTGCCAGGCCCAGAGAACATTAGGGCGGACGCTCTCTCACGCAAACCTGAATATTTGGAGGGGAGGAGCACCCGAAGAGAGACATGTCATTCCAGAGGACCGCTGGGTGTGTGGGGCGGCATTGGTGGGACAAAGAGAACTGGTAGAAGAAACAGAGAATGATGAATACGCCCAGAATAAGCTCAGAGGTCTTAGGGATGAGGGAGAGGAATCAAGGGGTTTCGAGGAAAGAAATGGAGCTTTGTATTACAAAGGGGCACTGTATATCCCTGAAGGAGACTTAAGGGGAGGGTACTCAAGCAGTTGCATGACAGCCCCACGGCGGGCATTTTGGGCAACACAAAACCATGTGGTTGGTCACCAGGGAATTTTGGTGGCCTAAGGTGAGGGAGGATGTACGTGAGTATGTAAGAGGGTGCGAGCAGTGCCAGCGAGCCAAAGGGAAAGGCGGGCGCCGGCGGGGCTGTTAGAACCCTTACCAACACCAGAACGACCTTGGGAGGCAGTGTCGATAGATTTTATGACTGATCTGCCGAAGTCCAAAGGGAAAACAGCCATCATGGTGGTGGTAGACCTACTAACAAAGATGTGCCACTTTGTAGCTTGCTCGCATGCAGTCACGGCGGAAGAGACAGCGAAGTTATTTGTAGAACACATTTTTAGGTTGCACGGGGTGCCATTGAGGGTGGTCTCAGACCGAGGAAAACAATTTACTTCCAGGTTCTGGAGGAAGCTCATGAGCTTACTGCAGGTGGAGGTCAACTTTTCGACTGCCCGGCACCCTGAAACCAACGGGCAGGCGGAAAGAGCAAACGGTGTCCTCCAGCAATACCTGAGGTGTTATGTCAATGACAGAGAGAATGACTGGGTAGAAAAGTTGGCGCTGGCGGAATTTGCCTACAACAATGCCGAGAATGTGTCCACAGGGATGAGCCCCTTCTTGGCTAATTATGGGTGTCATCCCAGGGCTTTCCCAGGGGAGAAGGGGAGAGATGGAGCGTACCGGCAGCCGAGCATTTTGTAGAAGAAATGGAAGCAATCCACCGTCAGCTCCAACTCAACTTAGAAAGGGCGAAGGAAGAATACAAGAGGCAGGCAGACAAGAACCGAAGGGAAGGTGAAACCATAAGGGTTGGAGATAGGGTGTGGCTGTCAACCCGAGGGTTGCCGTTCAAAGGAGGTTGTAAGAAATTAAGACCCAGGAGGTTGGGTCCCTTTGAGGTCATTCAACAGGTCAACCCAGTGGCTTTCAGGCTCCGGTTACCCAACCACATGAAACTACACCCAGTATTTCACAGGTCGTTACTGTCACCGTACGAGGGGACGAGAAGGGATGGCCACTCGGGGACCGGTCATAGAAGAAAGAGAATGCAGCAGTCATGTGGCAGAAATCCTTGATGCCAGGTGGAAGGGGAATCAGGTGGAGTATTTGGTAGCGTGGGAAGGAGAACCGGAGTCAGAAAACACGTGGGTAATGGCCGAAGATATCAATGACGAGGTATTGATAGAAACGTTCCATCAAAGGTTCCCGAGGAAACCTCAGCCTGTGGAGAGGTTCCGGAGGGAATACTTGGAACCACTGAGGAGGAGGAGGAGTTGGAAGGATTCCCAGAATCGGAAGGGGAAGGGGAGATGGACTCGGAGGAGGAGGAGTGCTTCGAGACCAGGAACCGCAACAGGTGGAGAGAAGTGTTCGAGACATCGGAAGATGAAGGAAGTTCATTCCGGGGTTTTGCCTCCTCACCGCCCGTAGAGGAGGGGGCGAGAGGGGGTGAAGGGGGCCCTGGAGGGAGGTGGATGTCAGGGAACTGCCATCGGAAGGAAGGGAGGTGAAAGGACTCAGACAGGTTGGAAGAGACTCAGCAGCTGAAGAGGGAACCCGCCAAGGGAGAGAAGCTGTACAGAGGGAGGTGAAAGGGCTCAGACAGGTTGGAAGAGACTCAGCAGCTGCAGAGGAAACCAGCAGGGGAGAGAAGCTGAACTGAGGGAAAGGGAGCTGGGGGATGGCTCAGAGATACTTCCAGCGAAAACAGTGGTGAGGTTTCCGGACCTCCTGTAGGGACACCCACTCCTCGCCGGAAACTGTCACGCAGAGAGTCCAGAAGACGTGTTTCCGTTAAGGAGCTTTTATGTTGGAAGCGATTACGAAAGCAACCACTGTCGGAATCTTCTAGTGACTAGAGGAGCCATGTCAGAGGGGCTCAGTCACAGACAGAGGTTTGTGGACTTGAACAAACTCTGAGGGAATACGATTTTACGCACAAGCAGCTCATCTTCCCATCACAGAAGCCATCCAGAATGGCTAGGGAAACCCAGTCAGATGGGTGGCGTACAAGTAATAAATCATCATCATCATCATCATCATCATCTTTCCCTTGGAGGGCAAGGAATGCTGTCCATGCTTGGAGGGGGATTCTTGGTTAGGGCTGCCAGACCTTGTTGTAAATGAGAGGGCAGCCCTACAGTTGAGACAGTTTTTTATCATTAAGTGAAACAAATTGGTATCTCGCGCCACAGATAAGAATTCTTCCTGAGTTTTATAATGCTAAAATACTGGTGGGAAAACAAGTTTCTTATTTGTCTTAGAAAAATAACTTAATTGCACAGGAAAATATTGTTAGTAATAGACAACAACATTTGCCTAGGCAAGAAAATTCTTGAGTTACTGGATTTTCAAGCTCCAGAGAATCTACAGTCGGGCAGTGCGTGTTATTAGGAGGATTAATCAAGATGTCACAAACTTGTGGCATGCTTCTGAGTTTCTCAGAACTTTTCATCAGACAGTGTGCTCCATTCAGCCAGCAGTCTCCCATCTTAGAACTGAGGCTGCATCTGCACTATACATTTAAAACAATGCCGTGCCACTTTGAACAGTCATGGCTCCCCCTACAAAATCTTGGGAACTATAGTTTATTTTGAGATTTGCAGGAGACACCTTTCCCCTCTTCCAAAGCTACAGTTCCCAGAGTGCTTTAACAACCGATGCTTCTTTGCAGGGAACTATGGGAATTGTAACTCTCTGAGAGGAATAGGGGCTTGTTGCCTAATAAACTTTTTTTGTAGTTTTTAATTTATTGGTATGTTTCCTTCTTTCTCTCTGCCCCGCCCCCCATGCTTTGTGCAACATCTCACCTAATGAAGAGTCCTGGAGAACACGGAAGCTTGCCACAAATTTGTGATATTTTGGTTGGTCCTCCTAATGAATGTATTGCCCAATTTTGGATTCTGGAGTCTTTTTCTTTTGGCTCAACATGACCATATTTTGTTTATCCTTCTGCCCAAATGAAGTCGGGAAAGACGAATATTAGAGCAGCCATGCTGGCTTGGGGCTGGTGAAAGTTGGAGTCCAAGAACATCAGGAAGGGAACAGCTTCCTCCCCTCTGATGTAAACAAATCCACACTTCTGGAAAACTGCTAGGACCTGTGGACGAGCACATGGTTTCATCTCTTAAGATTGCAGTACAAAATGCAGCAGCCAGATTACTGGCTGGGGTTCACTTTTAGTCTTGCATAACTCCAGTTTTAAAATAAGTGCACTGATTGCCAGCTTGTTTCCAGGCCTAATTCAAGGCACTCATATTAGTGTTTTAAAGCCCTAGAACGGGTCAGGCTCCAAATACCTGAAAGACCACTTATTTCCCTCTTGGATGCTGAGATTGGCAGAAGGGAACTTCTTGATAGTTCCTCTAACCTCAGAGGCTTGGGGTGGTGGCAGACCAGGAGAGGGCATTCTCTGTGGCAGCCTCTAAGTTGTGGAACTCCCTTAGCACAGAGGTGTGTCTTCATTATACAGGTTTCGGTGAATGCTGAAAGCACACCTCTTTACCCTGGCTTCATACTGTATTCTTAGGAAACACTTTATTTCTGTGATTGTAAGTTGTTTTAAACTGTTTTTAAACTGGGAGTAAGCCTCATTGAATTCAGTGGGATTTAGTTCTGAGCAGACATGGTTGGCATTTTGCTGCAAGTTATCTTCTGGACATAGGAGTACAGTTGCTTGGCTTTTCTCTTTACCCCCCACCCCAAATAAAGTTTTCCTACTGAATCCTTGAGGTCAGGTTCACAAAGTATTTTGGGTTGTTTTCTGATTTATTATACCAGGATCAGGATGGTAGTAGGAGAGGATGCCTTGAAATTTATACTTTCAGGTAACACGTTACACTGTTTAGACAAGGAACCTATTCATGTGCTGAAGAGACACGTCTCTACTCTGTCCTTTGACATGTGACAGAGACGTATTTTAGGAGCCACTCTAGTGGCGATTGCAGTTTGTTTTAAACCAGCCAGGCGCCTTTTGCGACTGGATGGAGATATCCAGGAGCCACTCTTGGCACCTGGCATCTCCACCTGCCTGGCTGCAGCCAGCTGCTCTGCCAGGCACAGCGGCAGCAAAAGACGTGTGTCTTTTTCTGCAGCACAACCCCCACCAGACACCTGATTTCCCAACAGTGAAGCAGCAAAAGGCACATGTTTATTTATTTTTTTGCTGCTGCTGCCAGCTGAATCAGGTGTTTGGTGGGCTAGCAAAAGACGCCTTTGCTTGTGGCCGCGCTATGCTGCAGACCCCTTGATTCACCTGGCAGCAGCAACAACAAACGTTTTTTAAACAGGTTTTTTTGCTGCCGCAAATCAGATGTTTGGTGGGGGAGAGTGTTAGCAAAAGACGCGTCTCTTGTGGCTGCGCTAATATGCAGACCCCCTGATTCACCCGGCAGAAATATATATATATATATATATATATATATATATATATATATATATATCTGTCCCTTTGCCCAGTGAATCAAGTGTTTGGTGGGGTAGAGTGGTAGCAAAAGCCTTTTTTTTCCCTACTGTGCTATCCTGTGGACCACCTGATTCCCCAGGCAGCATTCCTGCCCCGCTCCAGTGGACTGCCTGGTCTGGTAAAAAGGTAAAGGGACCCCTGACCATTAGGTCCAGTCGTGGCTGACTCTGGGGTTGCGGCGCTCATCTCACTTTATTGGCCCAGGGAGCCGGCGTGCAGCTTTCGGGTCATGTGCCCAGCATGACTAAGCCGCTTCTGGCGAACCAGAGCAGAGCACGGAAACACCGTTTACCTTCCCGCCAGAACGGTACCTATTTATCTACTTGCACTTTGACGTGCTTTCGAACTGCTAGGTTGGCAGGAGCAGGGACTGAGCAACGGGAGCTCACCCCATCGCGGGGATTCGAACCGCCAACCTTCTGATCAGCAAGTCCTAGGCTCTGTGGTTTAACCCACAGCGCCACCCACGTCCCGTGCCTGGTCTGGTAGTGGGGCAGAAAAAAAGGGGGGAAAGGGGGGGGGGAGAAGCAGCTAGACATTTTGTTTTGGCGCCCACAACCTAGGTCCCAGGAGCCACATGGCATTCCTATTCCAGTTTCTAACACTGTTTTAAACTGTTTTTAATGCTCTGTAATATATTGCTGTAACCCACCCTGCTGCCTTCTGCTGAACAGTGGGCAATAAATCTAACAACCACCCGCTGACTTCCACTCATTACCCATTTCAAACTAAAGTTTCCAGTCACTACCTGTTTCAAATAATTTTTGTTCACCTTAAACTGGCAAAACACTCTGAAATATTCATGCTGGGTTTTACATCGACAGGCATGTCATTCCAATCATAAAAAGGACTTTATGCTGTGGATTTTCATCTCAAATACCAGGGATGTGAAAGAGAGAGAGAGAGAGAAGAGAGAGAAAGAGATATGCATAAAGCAAAGAACAAAACTCTCACTGGCTTTAGAGGGATTTGCTTTGTAAACTGGTTATACAAGTCTGGGTTGAGCTTCTTCTGCAAATTTACTTTGGTAGTATAAAATGCTGGGAGGAGGTTTGTTTCGACAGAAGAGTTATGTGATGAATTGGAAGGATAAAACTGCAGGAGAGAATGGTCTGGATTAGAAGCCGCAATGTGAGACAAGAAAAAATGAGAGACATTGGATTCCATTTATCGCTTAGATGAGTCAAAAATATAACATGAGCAAGAATTCATATAAAACTTAGTTGTTGCTGTCATGGAATATTATAAAAATAGCCATGCAGCTTGATGCCCTTCAGATGCTGCTGAATTCCCCTCACAGTTATCATTTCCAGAATGGTCAATCCCTCCTCCCACAGAGTTCTGGGAATTGTAGCTGTTTGGGGAGAGTTCCCTTCCTAGTAGCTCTCAGCACACTTAACAAACTACAGACCTCCAAGATTCTTTGAAGGAAGCCATGACTGTGGTATGATAACTGCTATAAATGTATACTGCTGATTAGGCCTTAAAACTGGTATTTTTACTTGTCACTTTCCAGCTAAATAAGCTCTCAAAGTGACTCACCGTATTTTTCGCTAAATAAGACGCACCAGACCATAAGACGCACCTAGTTTTTGGAGGAGAAAAACAAGAAAACAATATTCTGAATCCCAGGAGCCAGAACAGCAAGAGAGATCACTGCGCAGTGAAAGCAGCGATTCTTCTTGTAGTTCTGGCTTCTGGGATAGCTGCGCAGCCTGCATTCGCTCCATAAGACGCACACACATTTCCCCTTACTTTTCAGGAGGGAAAAAGTGAGTCTTATAGAGCAAAAAATACGGTGTGTGTGTGTATATATATATATATATATATATATATATATATATGTAAAACCCTATCCAAAAAGCCTCACATATTATAACAAGAATGGGGAACCCCTACTGATGTTGATGGACCCAACTCCCATCTGCCTCAGCTAGTGTGACTAATGGCGAGGGATGTTGGGAGTTGCAATCAAACAATCTTAGAGCATCTGATGGTCACACATGCGTTATTACAGGGTGGGGGGCACCCATGCATTATAACTTATGTTAATTAACGCAATAATACCTTTACTTACTCTTCAGCAACCTCAGGCTGATACTGGAAACTGGAATTCAATGAAGGGTTTTTGGTCAAGGATTCTCAGTTATTTCTCCCAAACTGAAATTCCCAAGATTCTTTGGGATCCCAACATAAGTTGTCATAGTATAGGTTTATGACGTGTGCAGTTCTTGAGCAAGTATAGTTGTCAGGACTGAGGATATTGGAAGTGAGGGTGACCTTGTAGTACTTTACTACATTGGTCTTCAATGGTGGGTCGGGACCCACAACTAGGTCACTTCCTGATCCAAGGGCAAGTCACAACAGCAGCCCTGCCACCATGCAAATATATGGTGCGGAATTAAGAAATGGGTCCCCAAATGCGTGTTTGAGTTAGAGGTGCATCCTGGGTATGAAAAGGTCGAAGATGGTTACTGCTTTACAGGACAGCTGCCTCCAACGTGCAGCTGTTTTGTTTCACACCCAAAAGGGCACACCCACACCATATATTTAAAGCACCTGACTTCCCCCAAAGAATTCTGGGAAGTGTAGTTTGTTAAGAGTTGTTGAGCGTTGTTAGGAGACCCCTATTCTTACAGAGCTACAGTTCTGAAAGTGGTTTAGGAATCAGTCTCTCTTCCCTTCAGACTCTGATAAATGTTAAAGTGGCATAAAAGTGCTTTAAATGTATGATGTGCTTGTGACCAAAATGAGGAAGTAGATGGGTTGGTCCATAAGAAAAATTCCAACATCCACATTAGGCCAATCAAAATGATACTAAATAATGTGCAAACTGATGAAGATGCTTTTGAGAACTTAAAAGTTTGCACAAAGTTTTGCAATGCTTTCATCAGGCTATTAAAAGTATTGCCCTAATATGGATTTGGGAATCTTGTTTGTTTTTAACACTTTCATCCCACCTTTTTGTGAAAAGCACACTCAAACCACTTGTGGAATAAAAATATAAGCCAGGAAATTAAATAAAACTGCTGCACTAAAAAGAAAAAGAAAAAATGCACATATGCAGCAATAGCAGGATCATAACAAAAAATTCCCAACAAAATATTGCTATTGGCTTTAAATAAAAAAGAATGCCTGCCTAGATAAAACAAGCTTTAATAGCCAACTAAAGAGTTGGCAGATTAATATCCTTTTCCAAGGGTCTGTGTAGCTCAGGGGTACTGGCAGTACAGTCATGGCTTATTCTTGGAGACTGTGTCTTGAGGGGGCAACACACACACACACACACACACTGCTTTGTCCTGCAGAGGGGATTTTTGTAACTTAGTGACTCTTGCCGGCAGAGTCTCCTTTTTTAATCTAATTAGCAGCGTTTGCATTAACATGGGTTTTCTGCCTCTTTGTCCTTTGAGGAGGGAGCAGGCAAAACTGCCTGGGTAAACATCAGCTTAACAATGCAACTTGAATTTTTCCTTTGCTTCCTTTGAGCATCTCAGCCTAAGGATGAATTCTATATGACTCAGCGGAGGTGTCTGTCAGCTCCTGCCCTCCGAAGGGATCGGTATGGCAACGTGATGTGTTAATTCATATTGATAACCAGCTCTATTTCTGAGGCTTCGGATTTGGTAGTATTTTTTTAAAAAGGTCACGATGAATCAAGTAGAATTATTGAAAATACTAAAAATATGCCCATGCAGTTCTGCCACAGATCTCTTCTAAGGCTCCATGAGTAAAAGTCTGTCTTGCATCACTTGTGAAAGCTGCCTGGATGTGAGCCAGATTCTGTGCATTCTCTGATTTCACAGTGGCAGTCCAGAAATTGGTACTGAGTGTAGAATTCATTGGGCTGTATCCATTGTTAGTTCTTTTCGGACCAGACCCAGTGAACTTAAAGGATATGACTAACTTGGCATGATTGATGTGTATGGAATTATGCATGGTGCTGAGAAAGTGAAGAGAGAAAAGTTTTCCTTTCAACAGTAGAACCCATGGATATCTACTGAAACTGAATGTTGAAAGATTCAGGACAGACCAAAGAAAATACTTCTTAAAAATATGAAATTTGCTGCCACAAGAGGCAGTGATGGTCACTGATTTGGATGGCTTTTAAGAAAGAACGGGGCAAATTTATGGAAGTAAGACTATCAATGATGGCAGTGGCGTACCGTGGGTTGCCAGTGCGAGAGAGAGGAAGGGGGAATAGGAAGAGAGAGTGCAAAAGAGTCTTAATCCATGCCTGGAAAAAGAAGTAAATGATCTCATACATTTGAGGTGCCAAACCATCATGCTAACTTCCTCCCGACTCTCAGGGTGTGTTTGTGGAGAGAGAGAAATGATGGCCAGTGCTCACAGCTGGTTGGTGGTATTTTGGGAGATGATGGTGTCTTCGGAGAAGTAGGGGGTAATAGGGGGCTGTGGGGTCCCCCGTCACAGAGTGCAGAACATGGCCAAGGCATGCGGCACCAGGCCACATGGTGGGGAAGAGAGGAGAGTGGCTGTCTTGGAGCCAAGGCAGGTGGGCAGGCAACCAGTGCCCATCTGAATGAGTTGCTTGTGCTCTGACGCTAGTGTGTCTCTGGAGTGCCCGCCCTCCTGCCCACAGGCCTGGCAGGTTACGCAGTGCACAAGGCCAAGCTGGCTTCACCTTGCCTCTTGGCCAGCCCAGGGGTGGGGCGCGTAAGTGCCTCCCTTTGCTGGCCACAAGAGAGAGGGAGACATTGCCACCACCCCAGCCCTGAAGGGTCAGCCTAGGCACAGCTTGCCTCCCCGCAGCTCTGGAAGGTGAGAGCAGTTCAGCCACTCGGTCTTGATGTGGGAGCCTATCGTGCGGGCACCCATTGTGCTCCTCAGAATTTTTAACCTGGGGCAATCGCCCCTCTTGCCCCCTGCATGTTGTGCCACTACTTCTCAATTCCAATTCCTAGAAACTGCAGGTTGGGAGAAGGATGTTTGGCTCACATCTTGCTTGTGGGCTTTCCACTGGGAAAGCATCTGATT